CCTGATTAATCTTCTTTTGTTCCAGTTCTTCAGCTGCATTTAAAATGTCCCAGGTTGTCTCTTCTCCTGCCATTTTCCCTCTTTGTTTTCAGCTTATTTCAATTGCTGCAAAGTGAGTTCAAAATGCAAATGTAATTTGTCCTCGACTCATCGGGGGAGAGGAAAGGAGGGGGCAGTATCTTGCCTTTTCCAGTTGATGTTTTTGTGTGCTTTCAAGTCATTTCTGACTTATGGCGACCCTAAGGTGAGCATATCATGGGGTTTTCTGGGCAAGTTTCTTCAGAAAGGGTTTGCCATTGCCATCTTCTGGGGTGAAGAGAGTGTGACTTGTCAAGTTCCCTCAGTGAACACAGCCAAGCTGGGGTTTGATCTCTAGTCTCCAAAGTCATAGTCCAATGCGCAAAGCACTGCACCACACTGGCTCACCCTTCCCAGTAGGCTCAGGCAAAAGCAAACTATTGCAGCCTCTTCTAGCTTGTGTGTTCCTCCTTCTTAATAACTTTTGCACTCTTGACCACACTCTGATGTTGCTGGATGGCCATCTGTCGGAGATGCTTTGATTTTGAGTTCCTGCATGGTAGGGGGTTGGATTGGATGGCCCTCGTGGTCTCTTCCAAGCCTATGACTCTATGATTCTAGGTGTCCTCCTGGTTTTCATCTGTGAAATGTTGAAGGGCATGCAACTACAAACTGAATACGGACATTACAGCATGGCCAAAAAAAGTACAACCAGATGCATAAGGCAACTTCTACGTTTGTAACGTGACAACACAATGCCAGCTGGTTGCTCTGGATATGCAACGGCATCTCAGATAAACATAAACATCCCATTGGTTGGTTTGGCCTTTGAGAGCTCTCCATGGAAGCTATTGATTCAGCTTACCTGTCAAATTCTTTCTTTTCTTCAGGCCTTCCCACTTTAATTCCATTTGCAAAGGAATATTGACCACAGTGCCTCATCCAAGAGACTGAATGTTTGGCTGCTGGCCCAGAGCGGTGATATTTGCTGCCTCGAGGTCACAAACTGTAACAAAACCTCCCTGGCGTTCTTTCAGGATTAAAAAAAAGAAAAGCATTT